AAAAAAATCAAATTCTAAAAAGTATACTCAAAATACTTAAAAAATTAATTTAATTTTTGAATATATGCAGATTTGCTTTAAAAAATAACAAATAAATTAGGAGAAATTATATTAAATAACTGTATTTTTAAAAATAAATGTAAAAATAAATATATCCCCAGTAGGCCTAAATATTTCAATCAGTTTAGTTACTTATAAATGACTAGAATAATCTCTAGGGGAATTTGCATACATGCAACAATGTATTTACATGTCTAACATTTAAAGTTTGATCTTTATATTTATAAGGTGTCATAAATCTACGCATGAAAAAATTAATAATAGTCGAATTTAATTTTTTAAGTGATGTTAAAATTTCGGGTGCTATAAATATAAATAAGAAGGTTTTGGTGTTAGACTCGCAAATACAAAGAATTGTATGGTCTGAATGAAAAATTTCCTTATATTTTAATTTCCTTATAAAAAGAATTATGCTCAATTATAAATTGAAGATAAAATAAGTAAAAATTTTGAATTTGACCCTATCTGGGTCTGCCCCTGTTAGATACTAGTTATCTTTGCAAAGATTTGCTTAATCAAGCTTCTATTGTCTAAAAGAATCTTTGTTATGGTTTTTCTTATACTTATAAATAATTAAAGCAAAGAGCGAAATGTGATTGGTTAACTAAGGATAAAGATGATATTAAATTTTTTTTATCAAAAGTTTAAAATTAGAAATAATTCTAATCTTATTAAAGAAATTCTTCTTAATAATCATGTTGATATTTCTTATGTGGTTTTTGATAGTGATTCATATAGCAATTCTATTTTTTCTTCTAATATAAAGGATTTAGATATGGAGTTTTTTCATGAGGAGATTAAAAATATTTTTTATTCTATTGGTAATAGCAAATCTCCTGGCCTTGATGGTTTTTTCTTCCAAAATTTTCAAAGTTCTTTAGGATATTATTGGTGATGATTGAATTCATGCTTCAAATATTTTTTTTATTTCTGGCAATCTTTCTAACAGAATAAAACATACTTATATTAATTTGATTCCTATACGCAAGGTGCTCAAACTTTTGATGGTTTCGTTCTATATCTCTTTATAATACCTTGCATAAAGTTATTGGCAAACGTTTGGTGGACAAAATTAAACCTATTTTTTCTAATATTATTAATCCTGCTCAAGCCGTATTTATTAATGGTAAAGATATTACTAATAATGTTATTCTGGTTAATAAGCTTTTATATGATTTAATTCTTATAGTTTTGGTAAAAGATTTTGTCCAAAATTGACCTTAAAAAGACTTTTGATATGGTTAATAGAGGTTTTCTCTATGATAGTTTGGTTAAATTGAGGTTCCCTAAGACTTTTATTCATTGGATTAAAGCTTGTACTACTGATGTTTATTTTTCTGTTATAAATAATGGAGAAATAAATTGTTATTTTATTTATTCTTTGGGTTTGCGGCAAGATTTTCCTCTCTTACGTTATTTATTTATCTTAGTTATGGATGCTCTTTCTTCTATGTTGGATGCCTTCTTTTTTTATGCAACATAATTTTAATAAAGTGGATCTTCTTATTTATGTTGATGATATTGTGATATTTCACAATGTTAATCGTTCTGTTATTTTTCATTTGACTAACATTTTGAATAATTTTAGTCTTGCCTCTAATTTAGTGGTCAATTTCTCTAAATTGGCTATTTATTTCTCTAAAGATGTTAATTCTACTATTCAACAAAATCTTTGTGATATTTGTGGCTTTCCTTCTAAGATTTTGCATTGAATTTATCTTGTAATTACTGTTAAAAGTTTTAAGCTCAACATGATGTATTGTGCATGTAACTATCACAATAAAATAAGATAAATGCATTCTTTGGGGATTTGTTTATGTTCAGGTTGACTAATACACTTGCCCACAAAGAGGACCAAGTAAGAAAATCAAAATTTAATCATATTCAAAATAATGCCTACACATTCATGGTGTTAACTGCAAAAATCAAATTTATCAATTAATATAACAAGCGAATAAATGGTGTTAACTGCAAAAATATTTTACATAATACAAAAACTTCACTATAATAAGAGAGCTTCCCCAATTCTCCGAGCAAGCCATAAAAAATTGTAAGTAGAAATAGATTCAAGCTCCGACTTTAACAGCAGAATCAATAGCATCAGTGCTGTTCTGCTGCGACCATAACTGGGCGTATCTTCCAGCTCTTGATAGAAGAACTTCATGGGGTCCTTGTTCTACCACCTTCCCATTTTCTAGAACAATAATCTGGAAAAATAAATAAATAATAAATTGTGAATCAATAAAGCCTCCTAACTCAAACAAATTCATAATTGAATGCCACAATAACTAATCTAAACACTAAAGGGACATTTACATACAGAGGACACAATTCTTATGTATTTACATCTCACATCTAAACATTCATATTTCCACACATAACACTCAAAGCTTTAATATCATATAAAAAATAGCACTATTACTATTTTTTAAAAATAAAATATTCCATTTCATGCATAATTTTAAAGCACGAAAGAATGGTATATGTAAATATGAATGTTAAGGTGTGATATATGTAAATACATAAGAATTGTGTGCAATATACGTAAATTGCCCAAAACTAAAATACTTCACAAAGAGAACAGATGGTTTAGCTAAAATATTATAATTAACTATAATATAGCGCAATTCCCATGTATTTACATGTTTAATACCTAAACTTCACTTTTTTTAAACTTATACAACCTTCATATCACATCAAAAATACAATCATTTAAACTTTTACATGGTGATATATATATATAGAAAATTGATATTTGGGAGAAGCCCAAATATCGATTTCCCATGCGCAATCCGGCCCCATGATGAGAGCCTGTGTCATGTGCCTATAATTCGACCCCCCACGCACCACGGTAGGGATCGAACCCTTGCCAGAGGAGACTTATAGTGACCCTGCCGACCAACTGGACAAGTAATGCGGCACACACACACACACACACACACACACACACACACACACACACACACACGTGTGGGATCCTTCTTCAGATAGACCTGTTATCTATTTCAAATGATCAGATCTTTTGTTTATCTATAGCTTTCGTTGTGATATGTAGGGGTGTAAATGAGCCAAACACGAGCGAACTTGGGCTCAGCTCGTATTCAGCTCGTTTACACCCCTAGTGATAATTGATATATTGGTTTTTTAAGAATGCCTACGGTTGGTTTTGCTTAGGTAAAGCCTAGCTCAAGTTTGACACCTCCTATGTCTCGATCGCTTGATTTGGTCATTGTCATTGATGAATCACACCTTATGCTGGACATATTGAGCGGATATTGCCGTAACCTTTGTAGGGGTAACTGTTGTGGTGATTGGTGCTCTACCCACTACAAATCTTATCACAAATAAGGAACCATCGCCAGAACTTGACCCATTTTGAGCTAGAAGAAATAGATTTTTATGATGAATGAGCGTTATGAGTTGGCCCTTATGAAGAATTGACAATACACCACTTTTAGAGTCATCTCACAGGCTCTTCTCATTGAGGAATGAGATACCTATTGAGTTACAGTGATTCACCATCTACCCAATAGTCTAGTCTCGCTCCACCGATAGAAGCTCATCATCTTAGGATCTAGGGTTGACAACCAAAATAGATCAACTTATTAGCAAAACCTAACCAATTGAATCAATGTTGTTGACCCGAAGCCAATCAAGATCAATTGATCGACAAAACTGGCTTAGCTAACTGACCAAACCAACCTTACCAAGTCGAGACCAAACAACCTCAACAGACCGAGCTAAAGAGCAGTCGAGCGATAGGGTTGAATGGAGGACCTTTCTGACATGTTTTGAGTTTGTAGAGACCGAGGTCACTAGCTGAGTTGTTGCAATTGGCCAATAGACACATATCAACAGAAGAATACAACTATCTAACATCAATCAAAATTGAGCGAGTTAATCACATTCACCAAAGAGAATCGATCATGAAGAGAATTGGGAGCCAAGATACAATCCTCATCGCTCAGCTCGAACTTGCCCTGAAGATTCAAAAGGGACCAATCGAGCATATCATCGTGGGAATCAAGCCCAATATTTTGACCAACGCCAGGCTCGACAATGTGAATATGCTATCATTCAAACTATGTATTTTATTATCGAGTTCATAAAAATCATTAAATTTTTTTTCTTATTACGTGTGCATTCTCAGGTCTAGCCGACACTTAGGGAACTTGAGAAGTTTATGCAATGAATCATCAGAATCTGACTAACATTCAACGAACGTGAAATGACCGGCCAAAGAGGGTTTCACCCAAGCGTCTCAACTGACAATGATGCATGACATCCAATCAGTAAAATTTGTGAAAACTGACAGCGACGTACTACATATGATGGTTAAAAATTTTTCAAAATCAATAGCGATGAGAAGACATCCAATCAGTAAAAATTTGTGAAAACTGACAGCGACGTACTACATATGATGGTTAAAAATTTTTCAAAATCAATAGCGATGAGAAAACATCCAATCGAAAAAATCATCTGAATTTTACTGATGGCGACGATTAACGTCCGATCGACAAGGAGACTCGATTCCGTTTATGGGATGACTGGTGTTATTGAGGAACTAAATATTTTCTCTGAATGGACCTATCAGAAGGTAAATTGTTGTCTTTGGTCAGCTTTCTTGTAGTTGTTGACTCGCTTGCTTATTTATCTTGTTTAATCTGATTGGCTCGTACTCGAATCAATTACTCGTCCTTTTTCTCTTCTCCTGGCTCGATCCGTCTTCAGCTTTGTCTCGGGCATCTTCATTCGAATAACTTTTAGCTTTGACTCAGGTGACTGCATCTGATCGGATAAGTGGAGTCTTTTATCGACCCTCAATAATTTTAAGAAGATAAAAAAATATATAATTTTGGAATGTAAGAAAAAACTACGCTTGTCCTGCTTTTCGGCCTCCCGTCTTCCTGCTTGCCGCTCGTCGTGCGAGATCTGCTGCATCCCGGTGAAGTAGAATATGCGCCGGAAAAATATGGAGCTGGGAACGGAGTGATCATCCGATGTGCTTACTCTGCAAATATAAAGATTTAGAGGTGAAATATGTAAAAACCGAGTGTTGGGACAGCGCACAAGTCTCTAATTTATATTATTATGTCCCCTCAGGTCAAATTTATCAAATGAAACACGGTACAATCCATCCGAAAAAGTGCAGAATATCTTTTTCCCGGGCCCCGCACCTCGCAGCGATCCAGGATTCGCGGCCCAAGAAATCGATTAAAATAAGATCCGGATTGAAATAAAGCTGCTTCTCCACGCAGACCATGAAGCCTTCCATTGTCTCCACTGCAGCTGCTTCATGCAGTACTTGTAGCCAGCGCAGCATTATTTACGTGGTTCACAAAGCGCTGCGTAGGCAGCTGCTTTTTTTTTTCTTTTTTGTTAATCATCTTCTACAACTACTGAGAGGAAGAAAACCGCTGGCTTTGTTGAGGAATCGTGGGCCATTTGCTGCTGCTCTTGTACGAGGGTAGGAGGCCGCTTCTTCTTTCATCGCTATCGGTGGTGGAGAAGGCAGTGCCAGATGCATTTCGGAGGTAATGTGAAATTGGAATTTTGAGTTCTTCGCATTTGGGATTTGATTTCTCTTTGTTCTCGTGGAGCTAGGGTTTTGGCGCTGATTTGGGTTTGTTATTTTTTTTTTTTAAAGTAGTGGGTGATTGGAATTGGAATTATTGTTCTCTGGTGCTTCCTCGATGTTTTGGATCTCTTGGCTGGTGGGATTTGTTGGCTGCTTGCTTTTCTCCTGTTGCTTCGTCTCTATGTTTTAGATTTCGTGGAGAGTGGGATGGGTTGGTTCCCAGCTTTACTTGGACTGTACAGAGATTATGTTTAGCTTTGATAAGGTTGATTTTTGGTGCTGGTGATCTAGTTTTCTCTTGACATATTTACAATTTTCTTTTATTTTTGTTTTTCTTCTGTCTACATATCATTGAGGAGGAAAACTTCTATGCCATGTTAAAGTGAATAAGCATGAGTATTGAGCCAGCCCTCCAAGGGACACCAATAGGCCCAGAATTTGCCTGCCATCTATGATCATTTGTCAAATTCTATGACTATTAATCTTGAATTGAATTGATCATGCTATTGATAGAATGAATTTGCCTGCCATCTATGATCATTTGTCAAATTCGCCGACTTGTATGACTATTAATCTTGAATTGAATGGATCATGCTATTGATAGAACATTATGTTTTGACAAGACTGTCTGCCGATGTTCTAGGCTTATTAGAAGGTGTTTAATTATTGAGTTAAGCGGGGAAGTGATTGTGGAACAGAGTTTGGGAGGTGATAGAGAAAGATTGACAGCTATCCCAGCTGAAAAAAAAAAAATTGAGAGAACCACGAAATGGTGGTTCTGATGGGCACAGTTGTTGATCAAGATTCACCGCATGTGTCTAAACAAGCTATAGGCAGGCCATGCCACCCACTTGCAAAAGAAAGAGGATATAACACTCCTTAGGATAGAAAATCAAAGAATATAATCTCCAAATATATAAATCAAGACAAAAGTCACCCCAAAGCAAGTCAATGATCAAACATATAAATAGCTTTCAAATAAAACAATTCTAATTATATTTCTAATAATATAAACTTGGGGCTCACAAGGGCTGGAGCGGGAAAAAATGTGAGAATTGTTTCACTACAATAGTGTGATGTGATCATGTCTCCCTCATTTGCCCATGATGCGGTTTTGCGTATCTCGGAACGATCCCACATCATTCTCCTCCGGTGACATAGACCCTATGTTCATCTCCAGTTGCAGTAGAATTCTTACAGTATGACAACAAATCATCAATATAGATCAATTTTACGAGCATTTTCGTTTATCTTCTTGACAACTAAATGGACCATCTGCTATAAGTTTGAGCTTTTCAAATGAACATGCAGAAAATTGATCATTTTTCAGTCTAATTCACACTAAGGTACATTCCTTGAATACTTAGGTTTGGTAAAATTTTAGGAAGCATCCCATTATGAATATAAATTACCGAATTTAGTAATATAAAAAAAAATTAAAAGCCAACACAGTCATTCGTTTAACGGACAAATGCACGCCGAAGTGGCCTATCATGCAATCCATTTTTTTTTTGCGCATCAAAACTTTTGTATCATTATAACTTTTGAAGTTTACTATTTAAATTGAATGAATTATGGAAATAAATATAAAAATTTACAATATATTTATGTTAAAATAAATATAATACTTATAAATTTATCGTGAATTAAAATTAATAAATAATATAAGACATTTTTATCAATAATTTTAATGAAATTAATTAATCATAATTTAAATAATTATTTCTTTATTTTTATATATAATTAAATAAAATTTTAAAAATTAAAAATTAACTTACTAATTTAATTTGAATTAAATTGAATCGTGTTGAATAATAATTTTAAATTTAAATTAATTTAATTTAATTTAATAATCGATATGATTTTAAAAAGTGATAATAAAAAGATTTCTTTCACAGAAAAAAAAAATTTGCTAGAGAACTTTACAACTCCTATTCATTCGAATATCAAACATATAAAAATAAAAAAGTAAAAACAATATGCTAACTAAAAAAGAAAAACTGTATTTACTCATCTGTCAGTACTAAGGAGGAAAAAATAGAAAACAGAAAAAAAAAATATTGTTCACACAATCACTAACTATAAGGCTGACCATGCCAGTGTGGCATGCAATCGATCATTTAAATAGCGGTTGTGCCTAATGTTAAATTATTTTTTAATGCCAAAAATGGTAGTTTTTATTAATAAAGTTTTGTTTTAAAATTTGTTTCTTTATTACTTTCTTACTAATAAATTATTTGAGATGTTGTAACATTTTTTCACTTTTTTTTTAAATTGCATAGGTCTGATAATCGGAAGAATAGGAATTGTAGAGTTATCTAGCATTTTTTTTATCCATTAGGTGAAATAGATAGTGAAAAGTTGTGAAAAAAAATTATATTTATTTAACTGTATTTAGAAATGAAGAAAATAATTACTTAAATTATGATTAATTAATTAATTTAAATTATTGAATAAAAAGTCTTATATTATTTATTAATTTTTAATTAAGTGCCCAATGATTTTTTTTACGGAGTGGGCATAAAATCATTAGACATTTGAATACAATGTGCCCATATTTATGACACTTGAAATATTTCTTGGTTGGAAATATTTTGGGGGTGTAGTTTTATTCAATCTTTTCTTTTTTCCTATATTGACTTCTCCTCATAAGAATAAGTTTGAGCACTATGATTGATCTACTTTTATCACTCAAACTAATGGTTGATCTATTTTTAAAGTGTGTAGGAAAATTTATTGTATCAAGACACCTGATGCAAATTTGCATCAGGTGTCCAATGATAGGGTGCCACGTGGCAACCCGAGCTCAAACCGTGTATGTCAGTGGGCACAAATTGCCACATAGTCCCTTATTATTGGACACCTGATGCAAGTTTGCATCAGGTGTCCTGATGCAATAATTTATCGTGGTGTAGACTTGATACCTCTCCACTTTCAGGATTAAGTTATGAACGTCATGTAAGTTCCAATAAGTTTGTAATTGCACCATGTTAAATCCTCCAGGATACCATGCTATGGTGTTTTCCCTGTACTCCACTAGCTCATATTTCAACACAAGTTATTCAAATTCAATAGTGTATTTCTCTATTGAGAGATCTTTCTGTATTAAGTGTTGAAGTCCCAAGAACATATATTTGTAATGTGATAATAGATTCTTGGATTGCATCTCACTCTTCATCCAGAGTCAGGTCGTTATTTTGCTTCTTTCATCACCCTAGCATTGACACTTCAAATTTTTACACCACAGGTTGGGTCAAGGGGCTAAGCAACCAAGTGGTAACATTCTTAGTGTTACACCGCAAGATAGCCAGGAGCTACGAATTGACAATAATAACAAAAGTGGCACACATGCCATTTCACCAATTTGGCCTAACGTCCATCAAGATGCCACACCTGAGCTGCTCCCGAGGAGGGCAATTGAGCTAGATAAGGTGAAAGTAAACGAATATGGAACCTGGGTCCTACTGTCTCGAAGGTAAAAGCATCCCCATCATGTTGCAAACCATCAACCATGGTTAAGCAAACAAATGATAAACCTTTCTGTTTCAGAAGGGCGCAAAGTAGCAACTTTCGAAGTAGCTCAAAGCTTATAGAATTAAATCCTCGACCCTTCTCACAAACAGTAAATGACCAAAGTCGCATAGGAGATATCACACCAACAAACTTGCAACTCATAATATTTACAACATAAACAGCCTCCCAATGTAGATGATGCAACGGGATCCAATTAGAAAAGGAACCCTACTAGGAAGTGTCTTTTTTCCAAGTTTCACTTTGACAAAGAATGATGCAATTAAAGCAAAGAACAAAAACCCAAGGAAAATGAAATGCATCAAGGACATAACAGACATGGAGGATATACCCCCATTGTAGAATACATGACCCCACCTCCTCTCTTGGATAACCAGTGCCATATTTGCTACTAGTTTTAGGACCTTGATATGGACATCTTTAAACTCGATGCGGGAGCACCAGGATACTGACCAGCCCTGGAGACTTTTTATAACCCCTTTGATCTCATCACATTCCCCACACCACGCCCCACTCCTGATTAGTTTAAGGTTTTTGTCATTAAGGCTCTAACTCTAGTAATAATGTTCATGGGTTCCAATGTGATTGTGGACTAGCCATACTCTGAGCAGGAATTTCCCAATGGCGAGAACATTTAAACCTTTCTTCAATTTTTTCTTTTTTTTTTTGCACTCATGTATTAGAGCTTTCCCTATCTTTTTTGTCTTTAGTACACGTACAGGAGGGTCATCTTCTCCTTTTGATTTCTTTGTAACATTTCTCTCTAATACTCTTATACTTTTAATTAATGCAATATGCATATTTTCGAGGGAAATGCTTTTTTATAACTTGATGATAACTAGCTTCTCTCTTCTGTTAAGCGGGACAACCTTGTATTGAAAAATTTGTGTTACAGTCTGGAGGCCATTCAATGAATTCATTCGGATCCATGCAATCATTAAAATCCAATAAATTCACCTTTACACCGAAATCGCCCTCTCATATACTCAATGTTAAATAGACTCGACATCGGTTTTTCATCATTTAAAACTTCTTGGTGAATGAGTTTTCTTAATCTCATCAATATGGGTACTCACCATTGTTGTTGTGAGTGACTTCCCCAAGTAACTTCCTTATAAAATCAGTGAGACCCCGCTATAATTGAAGGATTTATTACTAAATATCCTCTGTTTAAGGGTTTTTTTATGACGACATGATAAATTTTCTCACTTTAGGATTGCAGTGATGGTGGAAAGTTTGGATCTAGGACTAGCCTAAAGCTTAGGGTTAGGTTTTGGTGGAGATATTGTGTTATGTGAAATTTAGGATTAATAATGAAGAAAAAATAAATCCCTAATGATTTAGTGTTCGTGGGGCTCTGATACAAAATGATATTGTTCTAGGATTAATAATGAAGAAAAACAACGGGTTTGGATTCTGTCTCCCGCATTCGCCCAAGATGCAATTCTACGTTCTCTGGGTCACTTTTTCATCATTGTCATAATTGTTTGCCACCTCGGCCATGAAACCATGACGCCACATTGATTATGTCTATGACACGTCATCTATGGAGATGTCTTTCTCAACCAATAGGACAACTCTTTATAACCTGTCCAACCCGTGTGACTTCTATTGTAAAAATAAATAGCACATTAAATGAGATTGTCAAATCTTGAAGAGCAGAGAACATTATACCAATAACAACTAAAACAGGAATAATATACTTGATGATAATGTTGTAGATTGGACGAGAAAATCTAGATGTGCTCTCTTGGTAACTTATTATAATAGGTCCAACAAATGTAATGATTTATAGATTTTAAATTTAACTATTTGTATCATACATGTCATCATATGATTCATTATCTATAGCAAGCTAATTGTGATTTATTTATATCACTAAATAACAACTTTTGCATTCTTATTCTCTCTTTCATAGAGAGGTACATGGCATGCAAGTTTTAATTAAACTTTTTGTCTTCTAATTAATGCATTCATGCATTTTTAATAGAGTTCCTTCATCAACTTGTAAAACCCACCCGTTCTACGTCTGGCCACCGCCCTACCAATGATATATAAAGAGAGGTAATTTATATGTATGGGTTGGAGCTTATAATTCATTTTTTTAATAAAGAAATGTTTGTTAATTTGAAGTTTCGAAAAGTATATTCTCTTATAATAAGTTTGATTCTCATTCTATCGATCAAACATATGCTATTTTTCCTCTCTTTAACAAAAATATAAAGCCTTCTTCCATCGATTTTTTAATTGATCCCACATATTCTATTTTTTTCCTTCCACAAGAATATGGAACCTTCTTTCTTCATTGCATAGTTGCATATCAACATCCTTGAAAAAGTTCTCCTACCTCCTTTGCCAACTCTTCTCCCTCCTACCCACATGTATATTTTTCTTAGCTTCTTCTTTTTCCATATAAGAATCTTTCTTGGAGAAGCGAATAACAAGATAGACATAACAACCCGACTCTTAGTCATCAAGATATTGTCTGCTTTGTCCTAATATTATCACATATAAGAATCTTTCTTGGAAAAGCGAATAACAAGATAGACATAACAACCCGACTCTCAGTCATCAAGATATTGTCTGCTTTGTCCTAATATTATCACATTTTGCCTTGTTTGTACAACTTATCTGGATGTCACTCATCCCAGGAGTGCTCTCACACGAGCACGCTTAAATTTGGAGTTTTTGATGAAACTCCAACCCTTACACTAGAAGGTATCTCATTGTTTAAGAGCTCAGCTTCATTCTACTTAAATCTCCCTCACTTGAGTAACTTACATCCTCGTCAATTTATCAACCCAAAATCACCCACCAAATATATATTCCTATCATTTGGTACAACCAGAACTCTCATCCATTGCAATATTGCCCGCTTTGGCCTAATAGTCTCACGATTTTTCCCTACTGGTGCAACTTCAAATGAATTCCCCCGTCCCATGAGTACTCCCACATGAGCACACTTAACTTTAGAGTTTCTAATGAAACTCATATGTTGCACCAAATGGTGTTTCATTGTTTAAGAGTTCGGCTTCATTCTACTTAAGGGGTTTCACCAACTCCCTCGCTATTCTTGGCGGTATTGTAGATGGAGCTCAACCAATGAACCTCGAGTAACATTGGACCATTATTCTTTATGTTTTAATTGGTATATTTAAATAAGAAAAAACTAACTTGATTCGCACAATGATTGGACAGTAGAATTGAAAATACATGGTGTGACTGCAACATTGAAATAAGTCAGGCATGTACTGTACCTGAAGAAGTATTTTAAGTCAAGCGGAATGCAAATTCTCAATATATGTTGAAATCATTGAAGTTTGCAAGGTGCGCAGTTTGCTATACAGGAAGTTAGAGGTGAGTATATTATTATAGGGTGCAACTTTGATTGTATTTTCAATTTTGTCGTCCATATTAGAGCATTGAGATTGGTGAGGTGGGAAAATGATATATTTATTGTAGATCAGGTTAGAAAACTATGGAAGGCACATGTTAATGAGAGAATTGTTAGCGATGACGAAGTGGATCAATCTCATATTGCACAATTTCTCCCTATCAAAGTGTACCATTTCAACATTTTATGATTATTAAGTTTGCATCGCGCTTACTATGTTTTAGGAGATTAGAGAGCCTGGTTTAATAATTTGTGTCATGACAGAGTCAAAATATATTACCATAGTATTGTAGTCATGGGAGAGAATTATCAGAAGTTTGTTGAATAATATTTTTACAATAAGCACAATATTTAAAATTGTTTATTTACAAATTTATTTAATTTTTTTAGATAAGATTTGGTTCAAAAGTTTATTGTAGATTTTGTTAATTTAATTTAATTTTGAATTTTCACCTTGTTAATTTTGATTAGATATAAGAGAGAGGCATGAAGAGTATATGGGGAATTGAGGGCTATAACTAGGGTTGTAAACGAGCCGAGCTTGAGCGAGCTCAGGCTTGGCTCGTGTTCGGCTCGTTCGAAATAGCTCGTGTTCGAAATCGGCTCGTGAACAGTGTGTTCGTGTTCGACTCGATTTAAATATTTGTGTTCGTGTTCGGCTCGTGTTCGGCTCGAAATTGGCTCGTTAATCTAAAATTGAGAAAAATAGATGTAATGTGTGGGATTCAAACCTGGATCAAATCTATACAAAAGAAGACACTAACCACATTGCTACATGAGGCGTTATGATTTAAATTTAGACATAAATATATATAATATATTATTATATAAATAATATATGTAATATATTGTTATATAAAAAATTATATATATATTTTTTTTTATCGAGCCATTTCGAGTTCGTGTTCGGCGAACAAACTGTTGTTCGTGTTCGGCTCGTTTAGCTCGTTAGGCTTAACGAACGAGCCGAACACGAGCTGTTTAACGAGCCGAACACGAGCTGTTCACGAACAACAAGCCAAATTGACAGCCCTAGCTATAACTAATTAGTGCTAAGAAATAGAAAAATGGGGAGAGCAAATGAGAGAGGATGAATCTTTGAGGAGCAGTCAAGTGGAGATCTTATGATATGATTTGATATTTTCATGTATTATCTCTCATGTTTGCTTATTGTGATTTCTATGAGACAAGAAGAGGTGTTTCAATGCATTTGACCTGAGAGATTTAAAGCTTTTCTTTGTAGTAAGATTATGTACTTTGGTTTGGACTAAAAGCATTTTTATGCGCTCCCTTTTCATTTGTACACCTGAGTAGTTTCTTGGTAAATACTTGTTTCCCCTCTCTTCCCTATCATGAATTTTGACCTTTTTTTTTTTTTTTTTTTTTTTTTGTGCTTAACCATATAAATTCTGGTCTCTTGTAACACTTGCTTCCATACAAGAAGTTAGGTTCTATCCTAACATGTCTGAACTTCACAAGATATTTTTAGCTTTTGTTGCTATCAACTTCCCTTATGTTTCTGCTAGATAGTTTGAATTATCTGACTGCTATTGGAACATGTACCCTATTTTATCTCTTTCTTGAATTGATTGTATCATTATTGAGAGTTGTTGAAATTGGTGTGTCATATTTATTTGATGAAGTTGGGCCTCCAGCTCAAATGAATTGGTTGATGGATTAGGCCAGGATTTTTTTTTCTTTTTGTTCTTTTTCTGCTAGGGTAGAAGGCATTGTAGTCGCCCTGGTTGTAACTTTGAAGGCTCTGCTAATGGTTATGTTCATCTTCTTGCTTATGTATTTCAGGAAAATACTGGTGTTAATTTTGTTATTTCCACGTCCTGTTTTGCAGTAAAAATGCCATTTTTAAAGCCTTTCAAATATGCTCGATGTATATTTCTCGTGATATAGAGCTTATCATTTGCGAATTAGTGCTGAGGATTCTCTTTCTTTCCCTCATAGCCTCCTTTTCATGAAGCTTTCATGAATGACATGTGAAGCATTACTAAATTTTTTGTGACTGTTTTTTCGAGCTGTTTACACACATACTACAATTCTTATGTATTTACATGTCTAACACCTAAACTTTAATATTTACATTCACAACACAAATCTTCAACACATCAAAAATACCGCTTTACTAACTTTTCAAATGCACCTTTTTATGCATAGGTTATAACACCTATAAGTGTAAACATCAAAATTTAGGTGTTAGATACATAATTCCATAAGAATTGTGTAGTACGTATGTAAATTTCCCTTTTTTTTTTTTGCTCTAAGGACGTTTAGTCAATAAATAAATCCCTTCCTAAGTATGACATCTAGCAGTTGCGCTTTGAAGGTTGCCACTAAAGCGGAGAGGTAATCTTGACCATCTTTTAAAGTATATGATGTCAGACAATGCTTCGCCAACTTGTAAACAAGGTGATGGTAGTGGTATTGGGATTGTTAATGGTACAAATATTAGTGCTTCCCAAACTCCTTACATGGGGCAGTGGATGGCTCATTGGCTGCAAGCATGCAAAAGCTCATCCTCTAAAACTTGTCAGCTTCATTCTGCTGCTCTTACAGGTAACACACTCCATCAATCTGAAGGACACCACTCAAAGGCACTTGATCGAATAAAGTCCGAAGAGTTCAAATTCGTAAGAGTGGATATGAGTCGAAGTTATAGTTTTGATGCGAAGGGTAAATCAAACTTTGCTGATGAAGATGATCCATTATCATATTCTTTGAGATCAGGTGAAACTTCAGGAGTTAATAAGGGAAAGTTTAAAGCTGTGGAAAAGTCTTCAATGAGAAGAAAAGTAGAGGCAATAGATGATGAAACTACATTTTCAGAAAAAGTAAGTACTCAGCAGCTAACCGAATCTTCTATAAAATGGAAAAATTCTGGATCATCAAGTTGCTGTCAAAGTCTAGATATTTCAGAATCGGATTTTGAACACTTTCCAATGCGAGAAATCAATAGGAAAATTGAGAGTTTATTGGCTTCTAAGAAAAAATCTTCTTATGGTGCTGTATCTGTTAAAATAGTGACGGAAAACTTGTCACTTTGTGAATCTACAGGGACTTCCAGTCTAGTGGAATTAGCACCTGGGAGTTGTCTTGCAGCCAAACATTACGAAGGCTTCCTTCCTGATAATGCTGCAGATATGGACGGAGCTTCTTCCCCTGTAATTCATGGATGCAAATATCAAAAGACAAATATGGTTGCCTGCATGTTCAGTTCTGGGTTGACTTACTTGGATCCTATGAACAACAACCTATGTTCTTGTTGCTCTAGTTCTAAATCAATGACAACAGGAATCAAGCGCAAGACTTCCTCTATTTCTGAAGGCTTAGGAAATTCATGGACAAGTCTAAAGGGAGGATCCACCCATTTGCTTAGAGAGTCCAGTCCAGCTGATTTTCCCTACTCTTTTTTACCTGAAAGACATGTTTCAGAAGTAAAAGGTGATTCTCCCATGCCTAATTGCTCAAAACATGATATGAGTCTACCTGAATCTTGCCAAATTTTGAAGTCTGTGGATTATGGAGAAAGATGTCAGAAGTTCTCTAGTACAGTAAAGTATTTACTGGTTGCAGATAAGGTGGAAAAGTATCAGTGTCTCAGAAAACAGACCAAGGGAGACTCTACTTTCACCCAAGTTTATGCAAATACTTCATCCACCCTTCCAACCAAACAAAATTATGGAAAGAAAAAGAAGAGCACGGCACCCTTGCAAAAATTTGTAAGTGATGAAGATATGAATGATTGTGATGATAATGACGCTCATCTTATTGCGGAACATAACGAGTTTCTTACTAATACTGATACAGTTTACAGCCATCCCAGTCATAGGTCAAGTTCTCTACCGGGTATGTGTTGGATTTGTTTTTGTGTTGACTTTTGATTTTCGCGGCTTGACACAAAGCAGTTCCATCCAGTTTTAGGCTCGACAGCATGCATAATGCTTAAAACTTCAGCATGTTTTCTTAGTTCAACGAATGATTTTTGCACTGATTATTTATTTTTAAGACTTTGCTGCTTCTTAATTCCAAGATTGGTTTTTTGCAGGAGAATCTTTTTCCAGGTCACAAAAGGTATGTAATTTCTATAAATCATAGTTAAAAAATTCTCTGTAGTTTAAACATGTTTATTGCTTAGTTGCCTCTATAGCCAAACGTGATTTATAGATGTTTCAATAGAATCATTGCTTTGTTATAGATCTAATTACATCATGAATTGCATCAATTGCTTAAAATTTATATTCCAATTATTAAAGGTGGGAGTTCTGGATCAAATTTGAAAACAAATGTAATATTCAATTCAGAAGCACATTATGCCGCAGCAGCTTGCATTGCCTTTTTTTTTTAATTCATTAGTTTAATTTTGCTAAAATTCAAGAGGCTGACATTAATTATGCTTGCAGTGAAACTGAGATGTGTTTGTGGTATAGGGAAAACTTTGTGTAATGAAAACAAATGTAACAAGTTAACTCTTATAATGTTGGTGACTAAAGCCAAAAGCATTGAAACACTTTTTGTCTTCATTGCCAATATTTTGACAATGTTTAAAAGGTTTTATTACATACAAAACACTTGAAACATTGCTATTTACAAAACTGGCACCGAGGACTTATCTGGAACTACTGAACTGATCCGTTTAAAACCTTTGAGAATTTGATAAAAATGAAATATAAGGGTTAAGGTTTTATCGTTAATTTTGATAATAAGTGTGTGCTACTTTCTAGATTCAGTTTTTATAACTCTGAACTGTTAACACATACTTATAATCCAAGGCTTATAAACTTATGTCAGTGTTCAAATCTCAAGTGTAATATTCAATTCCTTTGTGACTTGTAAAAAACTCACCTTTGTTTGATTTGATGAAGTCGCCACTGCATCTGATTGGAATCATGGCTTGACAGGGCATTACATCTTCAAATCTGAGAAATCCGAATCCTGTATTTGCTTCTTCTGGGGATGTTTCGACCACAAAAGTGGAGACTGGAATGGCTGAGAAGAGAGAAGCAGAACACGCTGCTTCTACACATGAAGCAACTGATGCAAGACATAGAAAAGCAAGTGTTTCTAGCACAGAAAGTTTGGCTGCAGATCATCATATAGCTTCACAAGTTAGGGCATCAGATGCCTCCAGCTCCAATCCTCTACCAAATCACACATCAGGATCAGAAACATGCAGCAGATGGATCAAGCGTCTCCAGGATAACCATTCCAAGACTGCTCCTTGTACGAAGAGGTTCAGACGGGGCGATGATTCCTCCAACGGCGATTCAGACGAATTTGTACAGTTGTGGAGGAGGAGGTGGCGCCATAGTGGCGATGAATCGTCCTCGACCGCATCAATGCCGAGTGTTCCGCTGACGCTTTTGCCGGAAAAATCCAGTGCGGCGCTTGAAAAATTTGAAGGGAAGATGTCTGCAAGCATTGGAGGGATGGCTTTGATGGGGAAGGCGATGAAGAATTATAGGCCGTATAGAATTCGGAGAGAGGAAGGATGTCTAGTATGGAATACGGGAGAGTGAGGGAGGGAGGGAGCGGATTGATGAAGAGAAGTCTATAAGAATAGTGCGATCAAGTATATGATGAAACAATGAAGCTTTGCTCTGTTCTGTTGAGAGATTTTGTTGTTGCAACACATTTGTTAACAGAGTTTTTGGTTGAAGAGAAGGCATTTACATTATTCAGCTGATTTCATGTCTTGTAATACATCCATTACTCGAAGTCACGTCTCGGTTTCATACTAACGTGATGTGATCTAGGCCAATATTATCCCATAGATCAGTTTTAGACAAGTTTTTTAGGGGAAAATTTATATATAGCCTACATGATTTTTATATATTTACTTGTCTAACACTTAAATTTTTATATTTATATTTATCACACTAAAAATCCAGCTAATCTATGCATGAAAATGTATTTAATTTTTTTAAAAAATTAGTTATAGTGATATTTTTTGTAATATTAAAGATTTAAATGTTATATATGTAAATATTAAAATTTGGTTGTTAGATGTATGTGATATTTGTTTTTGCGCCTTTTTTGTGAGCGGCCGATTCAGGTTATTTTTGTCATTGAAAATTTAATATTTTTGCAGTATTAAAGCCTTTTAGGATTGAAGAACTAAGAAATTAGGGTCGTCATATTACATTAAAATAAAATTTTGTAACTAAATTTTTTTTCAGCAATTTTTTATTTCATTTATTTGTTATGCACTAAATATTTTCGGTCTTAACAACCATAAAATGCTGAAGGAAAGTTTTTTGGTAGACAATTTTATTAAGAAAGATCTAAAAATTATTAGAATTATTTAATAGTCAAAATAATTTTTATTATTATTAATTTTATTGCGCATTTAAATGTTTTGAAACTGTTTATGATCAACTCTTTGTCAAAATATCCTTAATTCACACAACTGTAATGCATAGTACTTGGCGAATATATATTTATGCGCTCCCATATATATATATATATATAATATTTTTACACATGGACATTCATATTCAGAATATCATCCTACACATGCTATATTGAAGATTAAAAGTAGATGTTCTTTGCATTGTTCACGAGCAGTGTGAAGTATAATCCGGAAATAGATTTGCGAAAACATAAAAAATTCATAAATCGCTGTTGCTATGAAGTTTAACGGGTAATCAAAACTTTCGAATCAGGAACCGTCAACAGAATGTCGTTCAGTTTTTCAAACGAGTAGATATTAGGATTTAGCAAATGAGACCGCATGCTTATCTAGAAAAACAAGAGAAATCCACTGAAACAGTTTCACCTTCACAAAGGCAGCAGCAACATAGCTTCATACTCGTACTACAATTTTTTTTAAACCATTTTTATCGATGATTTACAGTTTCATATCATATACTTTACAAAACATCACTATGGACGAGTCATGATTCCTTGACACGGTAACTGAAGAAACAGAGCGTTCTAATTTCATGAAGCTTTTGCAAATCCAACCCTCAGGTTTCCATAGTCGAACTCGGTGTGATAGACTCCCATGAACACATCTCCCAGGATCCTGCAGCAGAAATGGATAATACGAATTTTGGCTTTATATATCTCGGTTTGGAAAGCTTAAACAGATCGTGGAATGGCAGATAGGGTGAGGGTGACATTACCAGAGAGGACCGCGAGGAGGGGGCACATCCAGAGCTGTGAATCCACTGATGCATTGTGCAATGGGTCCCTCGCCTATCTTTACAACGTACTGAAAACAAAAGGCAAATTAAAAATTAAGGAAAAATGTACATCACCATGTGTCTCGTATCAAAACATATTGGTTTGAATTTGCAATAAATAATAATTAAGGAAAAGGAAGATTTACATGCATACCACTCAATTCTGATGTATTTACATATTTAAAAAGCTAAACTTAAATTATTACATACATGCCACCTTACATATGCATGAAAAGTGGTTGTGGTTTTCAAGTCACACGAAAGATTTGGGTGGTAATATAAATGTAGAAAGTGGAGATTAGGTGTTAGATATGTAAATATATGGGTGGTACTTATCTAAATGCCCCCAAGGAAAAAAAAACAAAAAAAGGGATCAGCTTCATCCAAATTATAATTTTTCTTTCATTCCAGCTAAAGCACTGTATGATCTTGAATTTCTATTCCACTTTTATTTCCTATTTAATTCCTTGACATTAATATTCTGAAATGATGGAATTTGTTGGGTGGTTTAATGCAGATGGACACAACATTGATTTTAAACATCACAAATCGCATCCACGTGAAATTATCTCAATTTTACACAATAAATGTGTACAAAAGTAGTCGACGCATTTTTAATCAACAGACAAACATATGTTTCCTCTAGAAAAGAAAACAAAGAAATAAAATTCAACCTCATATTAACAGCAGAAAACAAGGGATTACCTGTTCTACTGTGAGATCAAAATTCTTACCACCAATGGTGAAAGAAACAGCAGCCATCAAGGGCAAGGAGTTACAGTCAACAGAGGATTCTCCCATGGGACTGGGCAGTCGCTCGCACAACTGAAGAATAGCTCAAGAACGTTAGGATGCCTAAAGCTGTATTATAAAGTAAAAAGTTACATTAGAAATAGATTAACCTGGTTGGCATAGTTCAGTATTAAATCTACTGTTTGGTTCTGCTTAAGTTGATTTTGTATCCAAACAACAGCCATCTCACAAGCAGAGCACATGGGATCACTCCTACTGAGGCCATAGTTACCGCCATTGTCTTTTACCACACTCTCAATGTCAATACTATGTTCCAGAAGGGTGTAATTAAAAAAAAAGTGGCAAAGATGAAAAAGGATAAGCCATAACGCTCTTAAAAATGAGGAAATCTTAAGAACCGTAATAGAGATCTCTCACCCAACAGAATGAGTTCCATCAAAAGCGCAAAGACCAATCTTAGAGCAAATCTTCTGTGGTTCCGTCTGCAGAAAGAACGATAGCATGTATTATATTAAACTGCAAATGGATTAATACGAAAAATACAATGTAAATAGTATATATATATACAACCCAAATCCATATATATATATATATATATTCAAACCTCCATGCGCAGAAGATCCAAAATCTTTTGCCCATACTCAGCAACTACTGCCTTGCACTCTTGGCTAACGACACCAGTACCACCAATTTTATGGTTTATTTCAGCAATAATGACCTGCAAAGAAAATTAAATGACAACAGTCACAAAACCTCATCTTTATATATTTCTAAGAACTTACCCAAAAAAGTATTAAGAAACATTCTATAGCAAATAGAACTCAAATGATAGAAGGTACTGAATTAAAAACTATTTATTAAAGAGAAGTGCAAGTCTACAAAAACTCTAAATATAAAGTTAAAAAAAAATAAATTATATCTTTCTAATCAAATAATTACTATCATTACTTTTAACGTGTATTTAAGTATATAAGGTTTGATTTTATGAATCCCCGTTCAGTCACTCTCCTTGAGCGCTACATTCGTTTATTTTCTGAGTACTACATGGATATTGACCATGTTTAACACAAGTGTTGCATTTTTCTTTAAGTTCCTAACCATGTTACCACTGCTCACTCGTTTTGTTCATTTATTTCAAATAGGTTTCCATATACCTTATATCTACCGTTTTCTGAACTTAGGCATGTTAGCAATCCTTTCAAGTATGTTTCACGCTCAGATCTTCAAAAACTAATTCCCACTGTCTATTCATCTTGTATAATGCCTCCTAAATAATTCATGTGCCGAATCTTTTCCTTCTTTATCATATAAAAATCCTTAATAATTTCATTATACATATCATTCACAACACTTAATACATGAAATCCAATGCTTATAAGAAGTGGTAAGGATCAACTGGGAAAAAGAATGTCGAGCAAAAAGTCATTTTGTATTGCATCTTCAACTAACTCCAAAATAAAACTAATATTAAGATAGGATCTTGGAATATATGTACTTTCACACGTAAATTAATAAAATTAGTAGATATTATGGTTCAAATGAAGATAAATATCTTATGTATTCAAGAAACTAAAATGGTTCGGAAAAATAACTACGGAGATTGACAACTTATGTTTTAAATTTTGGTATTTTAGTACGAGTTGCCCTAGAAATGGTGTATGTGTAATTATTAATAAGAATTTGAAAGATAATGTTGTAAAACTAAATAGAATTGGAGATAGAATAATATCCCTTAAGAGTATTGTTGATACTAAAAAAATTTTAAATGTTATAGTTTATACCCCTCAAGTAGGTTTAGATACAAGTTCACAAAAAAAATATGAAATCACTTAGAAAAAATAATACAAAAAAAACCTTTTGAAGAAAAAATTAATTGGAGAAGATTTAAATGAACATATTGGTATAGTGGAAAATTTAAAAATATTTGTGGTGGCCATGATTTTAAAGTAATTAATAAAGAAGCTAGAATCATATTAGATTTTAATTTAGCATATAATTTTGTTATTACTAATACTTTATTTAAGAAAAGAGATTAATATATTATCACTCATAAGAATGGATCTAATAAAACACAAATTGATTTTTTTTTTTTTAATGAGAAAAAGACATCGTCCAGATTGTAACGTAATCCCAAATGAAAATTTAAGTACTCAACATTGATTATTAGTTCTAGATTTTAAGTGAGTTATAAGATAAAGAATACAATGAAACATTATCATGGTATTAGATTGGAGCACATAAAAAACAAAAATAATATTATTTTTACGAGTAAACTTCAAAATTACAGGATTTAGGAAGTTCATCAGGACACTAATTTTATGTGAAAGTAACAAACACTATTAAAAAGTGGCAAAAAGATGTACTTAGAAATTAAACGGGAAAGACTTTATAAATAAATAAAAAATTAGTGGTGGAATAATAATGTGTAAGAAAAAATTAAATTATTCTTAAAGGAATAGATTCAACATAAATGAGTGAGCTATATTAATAAACTTTTCAATGAAGTTTCTAAAAATACAATCTCGATAACAGTGATCTTAATATCATTAATAATAATAATATGTTCTAGTTTTGCCTTCTTATTAGTAAAAAAAGAAGATGAGAAGGCTTTAAAGAAAACCAATGGTGAAAAAAGGAACGGATGATATCGCATTTGAAGTGTAGAAATATTTAGAAGATTCAGAAGTTTCTTGACTTTCTAAATTCTTTAATATTATTCGAAAAACTAAAAAGATGTTTGAGGAGTTGAAAAGTATTTTGGTCCTCAATTTAAATTAGTAGATATTATGGTTCAAATGAAGATAAATAACTTATGTATTCAAGAAACTAAAATGGTTCGGAGAAATAACTAAGGAGATTGACAACTTAGGTTTTAAATTTTGGTATTTTAGTACGAGTTGCACTAGAAATGGTGTATGTGTAATTATTAATAAGAATTTGAAAGATAATGTTGTAAAATTAAATAGAATTGGAGATAGAATAATATCCCTTAAGAGTATTGTTGATACTAGAATTTCAAAATGTTATAGGAGTTTATACCCCTCAAGTAGGTTTAGATACAGGTTCAAAAAAAAAAAATTATAAAATCACTTAGAAAAAATAATACAAAAAAAAACCTTTTGAAGAAAAAATTAATTGGAGAAGATTTAAATGAACATATTGGTAAAGTAGTGGAAAATTTAAAAATATTCGTGGTGGCCATGATTTTAAAGTAATTAATAAAAAAGCTAGAATCATATTAAATTTTAATTTAGCATATAATTTTGTTATTACTAATACTTTATTTAAGAAAAGAGATTAATATATTATCACTCATAAGAATGGATCTAATAAAACACAAATTGTTTTTTTTTAATGAGAAAAAGACATCGTCCAGATTGTAACGTAATCCCAAATGAAAATTTAAGTACTCAACATTGATTATTAGTTCTAGATTTTAGGTGAGTTATAAGATAAAGAATACAATGAAACATTATCACGGTATTAGATTGGAGCACATAAAAAACAAAAATAATATTATTTTTACGAGTAAACTTCAAAATTACAAGATTTAGGAAGTTCATCAGGACACTAATTCTATGTGAAAGTAACAAACACTATTAAAAAATGGCAAAAAGATGTACTTAGAAATTAAACGGAAAAGACTTTATAAATAAATAAAAATTAGTGGTGGAATAATAATATGCAAGAAAAAATTAAATTGTTCTTAAAGAAATAGATTCAACATAAATGAGTGAGCTATATTAATAAACTTTTAAATGAAGTTTCTAAAAATACGATCTCGATAACTTTGATCTTAATATCATTAATAATAATAATATATTTTAGTTTTGCCTTCTTATTAGTAAAAAAAGAAGATGAGAAGGCTTTAAAGAAAACCAATGGTGAAAAAAGGAACGGATGATATCGCATTTGAAGTGTAGAAATATTTAGAAGATTCAAAAGTTTCTTGACTTTCTAAATTCTTTAATATTATTCGAAAAACTAAAAAGATGTTTGAGTTGAAAAGTATTTTGGTCCTCAATTTTAAGAATAAAAAGGATGCACAAGAGTGTGCAAATTATGGAGAAGTTAAGTTTGTGTCATACTTCAAAATTACAGGAGAGGGTACTTGAGCATAGGTTAAGTGTGATATAAAGATTTCTCATATTCAATTTAGATTTATGTCGAGCAGATCTACTTTGGAAGCTATGCATTTATTGAGAGGTAAGATGGAAAAGTACAAAGAGAGTAAAGAGTATCTACAGAGAACTTTTGTTGATTCAGAAAAAGCTTACGATAAGGTTTCAAGAGAAGTACTTTGGAGAGTTCTAGAGAAAAAATGTGTTGATATGATTTATATTCAAGTCATTAAATATATGTATACTAGAGTTGTTACTCGAGAAGAGGATTGACCAAGTATTTTCCTATTTCAATTGGATTATATAAGGGATCGACTTTAAGCCCATATCTTTTTGCTTTAGTTAAAGAGATTCTTGTTGGACATTTATAAGAGAATGTACATTGGTGTGTGTTTTTTACTGATGATATTCTTCTTATGGATAAGATCGAAGAAAGAGTTCAGAAAAAATATGAATTATGGAGATTTACATTGGTGCCTAAAGGTTTTCATTTGAGTAGATCTAAAATTGAATACATGGCGCAGAATAAAATTTTAGTAGTTGTAGCTCTAGTGACAGAGTTGTAACTACTGGTGATCAAATCATTAAAAGGTGTGAACGTTTTATATATATCAAATCCATTGTTCAAAGTGAGATGGTGATATAGATGGGGATGTCATTA